AATTGGCGACTAAAGTCACATTTCTCAAACATGGTGATTACATTTCATAAACTTGGCGACTAAAGCCACTTATTTAATCAATTGGAGATTAAAGCCACTTTTCAATCAATTGGCGACTAAAGCCAATTTTTTCAATCAATTGGCGACTAAGGCCGCATTTTCATCAACTTGGTGACTAAAGTCACTTTTTCAATCAATTGGCGATTAAAGGTACTTGTTCAAATCAAACGACATTATTTCTTTCAAAATGGCAACTAAAGCCAACCTCTAATCAAAACACACACACAACACACACTTTTCATAATTGAAAATTCGAATCTCACAATAGGAATAACTGCTTGGTTCTGATTTCTATTCAATGGGATAAGTGGGCTAACTTGATTATTAAACTCGAGTGGCGAACCAAAAATCATTTTTTCCCCCTTTTTTCTTTTCTCTTGCTTCATTCGGATTTGCTTATTTTATGTGCTTGATTGAGAGATGTGTGATTGTCCTAGAATCTCCAAAAGGGGCTAGAGGCAATACTCCCTTCTTTGCACCTTTCTTTATGTTATATACGCTTCCTTTTTATTGCTTTCTATGAATGTTTTCTTTACTTTGATTTTATGAAAACATGTGGTCATCCTAGAATCCCCTTAAGGGGCTAGAGAGGGCATTTCCTAATTAATTTATTCATTCGCTACTTTGTTTGCCTTAATTTGGAGATGTATGGCCATTTTAGAATCTTCTAAATAAGGCTAGAAATGACACTTCCTTTCATCCTTTATCGCTTTCTTTAATCACTTTCTTTACTGCTTTCTTATCCATCTCAAAATTATTTTTATTCGACGAAGCATTAACATTTAATTGATTGTTTTGTCTGTAAATACTGCATATTTGATTCCATCCATAAATCTATTTTCTTCCCTATGAGTTCTAGTCTCAATAAGAATGCTAGTTCCTACTATTCATATGTTATGATATGAATATACCACACCAATTTGTTATGTATGGATGATGAGAATGGATGATGAGACGGATCTACCTTTAAGATCAAAAGCCTTTTGAATCGAAAACCTAGTCCCTGAATCCTCTTCGATTTCGATTTATAGTGCATTTTATCTATTTTGACCAATGTTCGGAGTCAAATTAGGATTTTCCTTAGTTGTTTCTCTCAAAATAAAAAAATGCATGTGGCGACTCCTTTTCAAAGAAAGCAATTAGATTAAATAGGGTTCACACCATGAATCCAACTCAATATGAGCATTCCGATTTCGTTTTTAGCAGATTGGACAAGGCAATTAGATTCCACAATACTATTTCTCGATACCACTAAGTATGTGGTTATAAACAGATTCTCAATTTCATAATAAATCGTCAAAATTTCATATTAAGTTTGGTTGTTATTAAGTTGGATTTATATTCAGGTGTAGTGTTATTGTTATTATTGTACAACATAACATTAGATTCAAAAATTCAGGATTTAAAGATTAAAACACTCCTTTAAACCAGATTAGTCCATTTTCTTAAAGAAATTCCACTCTTTATCTTCCCCTTCTAGTTCTAAGTTGGCCAAATCATATGAAATAAATCTCCTAGTTTTCTTGCTTTTCTTACTCAAATATGTTTAGATGAGATGTTTAGGAAAGATTTATATACCTCCCGTGGTGAGATTTTAAGACATTTATTGTTTTTTAAGTTTGGATTTTATTTTCGGTTTTTAGGAAAATGTAATAAAATGAGAGAGATATGAAAGGAGTGAAAATTAGATACATGAGATTTTTATTGTTATGGATAGATAAGATTTTGCTAGTCTATATTTTGATGGATTTATAATAAAGTTTATGCCATATGGAATCCTTTAATTGAGTTTTAGTTGGTCATTTTCTAAAATAATCTTACTAATGTAAGAATTTCAAAAATGTCAAGTTGTTTTTTACTTGATTATTGAGTCATAAGTCCCTCAATTTATTTTTATAACTAAAATCTCTGACTTAATCCATTAAATTTGTGCTTCTAATTTATTAATTCCCTCCATTTAATTTCTAATTTATATTCCTATTTATTTAATCACCATATCAAAACTAAACGTCATATTGAGTTCCCTTTCTTCCTCAAATCAAGAGCTCCTAAAAATACTTGAGCGTTTCCATTTAAATTCCATTACATAAATGCACAAATTCTCAATTTCATAATAAATCTTCAAATTTACAAGAATTTAATAATCTCCAAAAGAAAATTTTAAGCCACCTTGAAAATGCATAACAATTAGAACTAATAATTCAAATTTAAATATTATGTTAATTTCTAAATTAATTTCTATGGATTTTGCATTACAAAGATTGGGCAGTAAATATAGCTAATTATTATTATAAAGTTTAATATTAATTAGTTGTTGTATTTATCTTAATCTCAATATAAAATCATGTAATAAAAATTTAGACAATATAGCAGGAAAATTATGATTAATACTTAGTATTATATAAAAATTAAGTATAAACAAGGAGTAAATAACGAGCAATAACAACATATCGCACGTCGTATAAAATTAGTTACTATAAATATTTACAATATTTATATTATTAATCCTATGTAATTATAAACTTTGTAAAATAATTTATTTCAATTTGTAGTTTTGGCCTTGCAAGTAAATAGTCGATTCAATTACAAGCCTAATAGCCCATAATTTATCATCTGTTGACTCTTGTTTTTTTTTTTTTTTTTTTTTTTTTTTTTTTTTTTTTTTTGGGAAAATAAAATATCTTTCTTGATGTTTATGTTGTTTTTAGGGTTTTGTTGTATTGTTTTGTTTATTTTTGATATGTATTATTTTTTTTTTTTAGAGATTTCAAGTATCTATCAATTATAGCACCATGTTATTCGCAATTTGGCTAATTTAGCTCATGAATTTATTTAGTGAGATAAAAAAAAGTGAGAGTTGACTTTTTCGGTTAATTTAACCCCATGAATTTATTTAAAATGATTAAAAAAATCAGATTTAAGATTTTGTGTCAATTTATCCCGTGAACTTGTTTAAACTAATTAAAAATACCAGATTTAATATTTTGAATTAATTTAGCCATTGATTCTTCATTATATTTAAAAATATTTAAGATTATAGTTGGAATCAGACTATGTAATTTATTAAAAAAATTAATTAAATTTGAAATAAAGGAAAACCATATATTATATTCTCTTTACCTTGACTAATGATTTTGAGTTCATAAATATAAATTAATTTGAATATTTAAAAATTGATATGAAATCCATATATTTCTCATGTTGAACAGATTAAAGTTACACGGTAGGTTTTGTAAATTTACTAAAAATGACACTTTTATGAATTTAAAATTCAATTCAAAAGTGTTTGAAAAGTTTGATATGATGTTTTTAGTACGAAACAAGAATGAAGAAAAATCAATTATGTTAAATTGAATCAATTTATTAATTTATAAAAATTTCATGAATTAAATTGGTCTAAAAAGTTAAATCCAACCTTTTTTAATAATTTTAAATAAATTCAGGGGCTAAATTGGCTTAAAGTTCAAATCTAATTTTTTGATACTCCTAAACAAAACTTAGAAGCTAAATTGGCTTTTATTCTGAAATTTAATTATGAAAGAATATTAAATTTATCCCATCAACTTGAGTCCAATTAATTAAAAGCCCATAAATAAACTTTTTTGCAATTTGCTCATAAAATTCCACAATAATTGATAAAAATTTATTTTTTCGTATGGTCAGCATGCGTGATCTTTAATCACACACAAAGTAGGTTGAGTGTTTAAATTCTGACGTCATTCTCCCATAAATTATGTGATTTTACAGCCAAAAAATTAGGTTGGATTTTGATATCTTCTTTTAAATGTAAGAAACAACAGAGACACTAATTTAGGGCAAATTAAAGAGGGAAGAAATCACAAATCCAATAGGATGAGAATATGCTTGGAATATTCTCTTTACTTAAAAAAAAAAAAAAAAAAAAAAAAAAAAAAAAAAGCAGGAAAAAAAAAAAAAAAAAAAAAAAAAAAAAAAAAACAGAAGTTGCAGGAATAGTTTGATATCAAAATCGATAAATCAAATGGCAAAAGGAACAAGCTTCGAAGTCAAGCTAATTGCAAAACCGAATCAAGAGCAAAGAAGTAAATGACCAAGCAAAATCAACAGTAGCTAATGTAAATGAAAGATGAGCAAAATCAACTGTGGGATAATGAAAGCAAAGAAAGATTCCAGCGAGACTTAAAGCCGATGACCATGGAGAAGGAGACCGGCAAGTGGCGGGCTTGATTGGCATTGGCTTTTGCTCAATGATGGGTTTGAAGTTGGGGATTTAAAGATTTAAAATCCTTTTGCTCTCGCTGCAAAAAAATAGTTTATTGCAACAACTCATATTCCCAACAGATAAAAACAAATTGCAACCGAATATATCATCATGTCTCACACCGTCACAATAGGCTTCGCTGCAAAAAATTTTACTAGGTGGGAAGTAGTTGTTGGTCGCAATTGAATTTTTGTGAAACTATATAATTGTGGTCGCAAAAGTTTTAATCGCGAACATGTTTTTTTTTTTTAAATTATAGTGTTCTTATCACATAATTGAAATTTGAGAATTAGTGTTTTCATAAATTGCAACTAAAATTTGGTTCCATATAACCAAAATCTGGTCGCTATAAGCAATCAATCTATTTGAGACAAATATATTTTACAAATATTTTAAATAATTCCATAAATTCAATTCCACAATAAAAGGTTTGGGTTACAATGCAAGCCATAAACGTTATGTGGCAGCTTCATAGGTTTATCTCTTCTTTCTTTTTCGTGCTTTTTTATTCAAAATATTCGATTCCAGTGTTTAACAACTTTTTATTCCGTGCATTACTCTTCTAATATTGGCGTCTACTAGAGATTTGGTGATGAAAATTCAACTATGCAAATTTCAAATCCCACGAGGCACTAGTGCAAAGAAACTGCTAGGTTTGAATATTTACTGTCTCCTGCAGTCAGAATATTGAGATGCTAGAGAGAGAAAAAATAAACTAAGATATATTTGAATTCAAGGTTTGAACATTTACTGTCTGCACATTCATCTTTGCAAATAAATTTATGATGACTTCATATACTCAGGGATCAATGAGTTAATATCATGTACTCCAACAATTTCCCTGTCTAGACCTCCCATTTTTACACTTCTAATCAGATTATAGGGGCAAAAATCATAACATTTAAGATTAAAAAAATGGTAAAAAATTCTATATTTCCAGCTATGTTATCGAACTCTTGTATTTGAACTACGAATTGTTACACCATGTAAAAATTTGGTGTATCCAAGGAAGCTCAGTTTCCCATCAGAACTTCTAATCCAATCATTGACTACAGAATGGGCAGTAGGGCCCAAATTCATTTCCTGCACAGATTATTGCATGGTAAGATAGATACTTCCAAACTTAACTACTGAGTAAATTTCCAAGAGGTAGTAGATGCACATACCACAGCCAATTCCTGCATTGAAATGACACGATTTCCTTCTTCTTCAAAGTACTCGAAAGCTGTCCTTGCAATTTCTTCCCACTCTTCAAGGGCCTCAAGTTGATATATACTGATTGCAGCAGCACAGAAGTCATCAAACTCCATTTTTTTATAGGAGAGTGGTTCCATCTGAAATAAGAAGCTAAAATGTTAGTGGAAACCATTAGAACCTTAGATCACAATACCTTATGAAATCATATCATTAATTGAACTCAAATTATCATGGAAGACAAAGTAAAAGAATCATCAAATTTATCCAATTTGAGATTAAAGTAGTTAGCTTACCAATTAAGGCAATGTTCGGATTAAGAATTTTTTAACTCTATGAGTTTGTTAAAATCCATGGATTTGTAGGTTTTTATTCCATATATTTGTACGACTTAATCCTATTTAGTATAAAAATATTAAATGAGTTCAAAGGTTCTTATTTATTTAATTTATCTTTGTAAATAAATAAAACTTTTTTAAGAATCCTTCATTCATTAAAATGAGGGGATTCGGAAAAATCAACCTCTCATGTGCAATTGCAAAATCCATTTAAAATGCAGGGATTTGGATAAGTCACATCTCTCGTGTGATTCCAAAATCCATCATAATGAGGGATTGCAGTCTACCAGTGTTTCTGAACAATCCATGGAGTTTTACCTTATTTTTATTGTGCCAGACAAGGAACTTCAACCACATCCATGGATCGTTCCAAATCCCTCATCACTGGACAGAATGGAATAAAATTCCAAACTAAAATGCTGACAAGAAATTGTCAGCATCTCTTTCTTTTATTATGGCAACCAAAGTATCAAATTATCTTGCTGAAGGTCCATAAATAGATAAAGAAACCTCACCAAATTGAAAATGTCAAGAACCCTAGACTCCTTCATGGCTTCAGTAACATGTCTCATTAATGCCTGCAATTGACCATACATTTAAAGGTTGTCAGCATATCATGCATACAACGAATTACTACATCAAATTGGCTCCATTAATCATGTTATATCATCCTACTTGCTACACATTTCTCATGCAGAAGTAAAAGCCAAATGCAACAATCGTTGACTAACCAATTTAAAATTATTAAGCGAAAGAAAACCATCCTTGGGTTCCAAAAGCTTAAATTGAGCCTTAAGGTAAAACAGCTCATCTTCTGGAATAGCTTTTGAAAGAGCCTGCAAACATAATAAAAACATAAAAAAATTATATTATAGATGACCCTAATCTTAGCACATTCTACATAATTTCTATCAAACATCATCAAAAAGTGGACCATATACGTCATTTTTCCCAGAGATGCCAAAATGGTAGGCATGGCCAGTTTGGTGAACCAATGGTTTAAGCTCACTCATAAGGAGGAAACTTAACTGGGCCGTGAATCATCCGATTCAGGCTGGTTCCAATTCCGGCCAGCTCATGTCCATTTCCAACAAAAAGAGGTTCCGGTTGTTCCAGCATTACTTTTCTTTTTTTTTTTTTTTTTTTTTTTTTTCGGTTTGTTCAGCATTAACTTTTTTTTTTTTTTTTTTTTTTTTTTTTTTTTGTGGGGGTGGGTGGGGGAGAGAACAATTTGGAAAAACATTACCGGAACTTTGAGAAAATGTTGATAAATTTTATTCATGAAAATTTTTACAATACTAATAAAAGAAAAAACATCGTGTAACTCTAAGAAAAATTACAGATAAGCAAATACAAAGAAATTGTATGATGTAATTTAAACCACTTAAATTTATTCCAAAAATAAGTAGTCACTATTGTAAAAAAAGGAAACTAAATTACTACTAATTGAAGTCCAATTAAAACTCAAAAACGTTTCAATGGAAACTCATCAGTTGTATAAGACTATTAATGTGTGTGCATACACATTAAGCACTCAGATATGAAATTCAAATTTATATCTTCCAATTTTTTTTTATTTATTTAATGAACCAAAACAGGACTAGACCGCCTGTTCAACCCGTGATTCCAGACCAGTTGCAATTAATTGTTTGCAACTAAAGGAACCTTAACCGGCAGTTCCATAGTGGTTTTGCTTCACTAAATTCCAGGATGTTTCCCGTTTGAACCAGTTCCATAGTGGTTTTGCTTCACTAAATTCCAGGCTGTTTCCGGTTTGAACCGGCGTAGTGGCAATGCCCGTAAAAAGGCATGGCCAAGCATATGTTTCCATTTTTTTTATTTCAGTCTAGGGATGGGAAAAAACATCTACTGATACAAGTATCTTTATGTATAACTACCTTCAGTGCTGCTCGCTTGAATGGTGTGGCGCGAACATATGACTTGACCAATTTGTATATCAAAATATCCAAAGGCACAGACTGGTTTTCATCTCGTAACCATGGATGAGCTGCACACATATGTTTGTTTATTACCACCACCAAGAGCCATAAAAGTGTCATCATCAGCAAATAGCATGTATGACTATATGTTTCATTAAACCACAAGGGACGGGGGGAGGGAGAGAACATCCAGATGTTCAAAGTTAATTTTTGAAGAAACGGAGGTATCTGAAATATTTAGAAATAACTTACTTAGAGCTTGGGCAGCAGTCATTCTCTTTCTATGATCCTTATTCAAAAGCCTTTTAACAAAATCTTTTCCCTCCGGTGATATCGCAGGCCAAGGTGAGTCATCAAAGTTAGGATCAGCTCTTAACACGGAACGAAAAATTCCTGATTCAGTTCGAGCCCAGAAAGGTCTACTTCCACACAACAAAATATATGCTATGACTCCAACGCTCCACATGTCAGCTTCAACACTGTATGATCTATGTAGCACTTCAGGTGCAACATAATATGCACTGCCAACAATATCATTGAGACGTTGATCTGCACATGTATAAGAATAAAACATATTGTTTTCAAGCTTGCAGTTGAATATAGCAAAAACATGAATTAAATTTAATTGACTCTCTACAGCCGCATAAGTAAAAATGGAATCCTTGCTAGTGTTACTGAAAGCATCGATGTTTCTTTTTCTCCTTCACTTGGATCAAACGAATTAAATTTCCTAAAAATTTATTTAAAGGTCCATGCATGTCCTGTTTTGACCTCAAAAGGTTTCATTCAAATCTGCAATTTTTTATTTTAAGCACTAAATAAATTTGGGAAATTCCAAAATTGATAAATTTTCCAAAGAATTCACACCAGCTATATTATGAAATAAATTGGACCAGAACACTCTCCTCTCCTTGTCCCACAAAAGCAACAACCAGATCTCTGTGTATGAGGTGGACTGTTTACCATCACCTAACTTGAGGCCTATGTTGCACACAGAAACAGAAATGAAGAAACACGGAAAATGCAGTAATAATATGAGTAAAAAACATTTAAAATATAATTTTACATGGAAAAAAGTGTTTTGTATGGGAAAATGAGATGAGACAAACAAATAAACTTGGTCACATTGAGTTCTAAATCAAATTGTTCAGAAAATCCATTTCTTAACAAGTATGTTTACATATACTCTTAACCATGCATGTGTTTGAAGCAAGCTTTTTTTACTGTGTTTTTGTCATACCATAGCTGTAAAAGGGTTTTTCTGAAGCATTATCAAGAAGAAGGAGAATAACAGCATATTCAAAATTGAACGTTAGAAATTAAAAAATCAAAATTCACTTGAAGGTCATATTAATAAGCCAAAGTAAAAATCTCATACAGAGACTAGAAGTATAACGAAGTCAAACCAAATACACAAAATGAACTTGGATTAGGATAATGGGTTTTTCTGATTTGATGTATTCATCACAACCGAATAACACTAGCACTAGATCCAAAAATAAATTCATGAATAAGCACATATTACCTGGCCTAATAAAATCTGATAAACCAAAATCAATGATCTTCATTGGAGCATTCTCATCTCTTGTTGTAAAAAGGAAATTCTGTAAGTGGAGAAAGATGATTCGTTTAAAGTTGGAAACAGAGTTGAAGAATATTGCATAGCAACCTTGAAGAAGACATACACGACTTTATCATTCAGTATATAATTTCCAAATTTGATAACAGTATGCATATATCTGCATGTGATATGCGCATAGATAAATTTGCACGAGTTCTGCTATACCTCTGGCTTAAGATCCCTGTGCACAACTCCTTGAAGATGACAAAAGGCAACTACACTTAGAATTTGCACAATAATGGTTTTAGCATCTTCCTCAGTGTATCTTCCACCTCTACAACATAGAATCACACGGATTCACATCAGATGTATATGATTCAAAGTTAACTAGACATCAGCTCTATTATTAGAGAATAAAAGTAACATTGTCCTCAAGGAGGTGATGTGAAGTATCCCTGTATTACCTTGATAAAATTCTGTCTAGTAGTTCTCCACCTTCACACAATCTGCCAATAACAATATTCAAAATACTTCAGAACATATATTTAAGTTTTCTGATGTATAGAAAATAAGCATAGATTAATCCATATAGAATTCGTTTTTCTCAGTATTATGTGCAAACTTTGGCTTCTAATGGATAGTTCATTTCAAAAATCAGCTTTATGGGTATGAACATATAAAATAACATAAGATATTCTCCATGGAAAAATACTGCTAATATATTAAAAAAACCGGAAAAAGAAATACAATAAAGATACTAATCAAAAAGAACTACAATGAAGAATACATACTCCATGACTATGTAGACGTTATTGGCATCCTCAAAAGCATCATGAAATTTGATCATATGTTTATGCCCAGATAAAGCTTTCAATATTTTTACCTCCCTACGAACATCTTCAATGGATATTGCTGTTGTCATCTGCCATGGACAGTCATTTAGTCACTGAAGCACCTTTAGATTCAAATGTATCTGTCAACTTATTGAGATAGCTGATTATTGCTATTTATGAGAAAAAAAAATCAGAGTAAATAATACTTAGCAGCTTTATTAAGGCATTATCCGAACTTCCATAATGCAATTTATATTGCCAATTAGTATTTTTCTGGAATTGCCTGATGTGATAAGAATAACTCTAAACCTAGCTAGGTTATAGATTTGGCAAGAAAACATTGAAAAAAGTGAATTAATAGAACATAATCCAAGAAAAGGGCTGAATCTTATGATGACACAACCAGGAAAACAAAGACCAATAAACTGGTCCATTTATTACTCAATTTTGAAATATGCCTGTAAAGAGAGAGTAAAGCCCTTTATGCAGCATATAATCCCTGGTAGAATAAGGTGTTAACTATATATACTAATAGAATAAGGACTAAAACATAGTTCTACAATAATATCCTCAATAGTAAATCCTACTTGAAAAGGACTTAACTACTCTAGATAAAGTAATTTAAATAAAATGCATAACAACCCTAATTGAAAATTGCTACAGTAGCATGAATAATTCCTGCTGCAGTAACATGAATAGTCATTTGAGAAAATTCCTAAATTCTAAACTTTTAGTCCTTTCCTCCTCAATCAATTCCTCCAGGATGGAGAGAACTCAGCTCCAGATAGAAAAGTTTAGATATATAAGCTATGAGAATAGGATCATTTGCCTAAGCTCCTTTTATGTTAAAGAATAACAATCTTCCTTTCTTTTCTCACTTTCAAAGTTCCAATCTTCTTGTTTTTCTACTGAAGGGGGTAGTGAGAATCTGTTGAACAATGAATTTTTCACCTTGGCTAGATACCATGTTAATTTCTTCCTCTTCCTCATTGTAATATTCACTGTAGGAATCTCTTTTATCAGGTACAACCTCCAACAAATAATTTGGTGACTAAGGAGGCATATATAAGGACACACAAAAGTGCGTTGCTTCCAAAATAATCAAAGGCACATTGTTTTTTAGAGCTGCTGCCTGCTCCCTTTAACACACTAAAAACAAGAAAATTCTCTCCTTTTCACTCTCCTTAGGGCCATCAATATCTTTCAATGTTGTTCTTCCCCAATTGCTACTTTTTGGATCTATTTCGAAAGTAGAATATCCATGAAAATCGGTAATTTGAACAGAAACTTCTAAATTAGTTCTTACTAACTGCTCCTGCAATCCACTGCATTCAGATTGTGAAAATACTAGACTCTAGCTCTATCCTACTTCTAATTATATTCGCATAAATATCTTTCCCCTCAATTAGTGTCCTTTTTGAAGCACACTCACCTAGCATCTGAAATATCGTTTTATTGGTCTAATCATTTTATAGGACTCTTGCTGGTCTAATCATTTTATTTGTTTCAATTGATCAATAAATGATCAATTAGGACTAGAAAGCTTCCTAGGTATGTCATTGAGTAACCTTCTAAAGTTGAAACAATGACCATCAGGTATTAGTAAAAGAGAAACCACTTATGTGTTTTGGTTCAGCAGAATGAGACGTATGCAATTAGAAATAGAAAGGGGACTACACCCAGTGTAAGCAAGATTTACTCGAAGAAAAAAAGGAAAGAGAAATTTGAAACACAGAAAATTTAATCTTTTTATTTATGTCTAGAATTAAATATTATTGTTCTGATCCAATTTTGACAGAGACAGTATCATCATTGCAAACAAATTAAAAAATTGGGGTATAATCATTCAAATTTTTAAAATGGGCTAAATTTGCAAAAGCACATAAAGTTTGCTGTAGACAACCTTATTAAGCCTTTTAATTATAGATGCTAATACAATAAGGACTTGGTGTCAAGCAAAATAGTAAAGCCTAATTGGAAAACGACTTAACTAATCTAAAAAGAGTCTTATTCTTTTTTTTTTTTTTTTTTTTTTTAAAGATCTTATTCTTTTTTTTTTTTTTTTTTTTTTTTGAATGATAAAAAGAGTCTAACTTAAATAAAGTATAAAATAACATTAATGTAAGAATCGCTAGAGTATTGGGAACAGTGGATGCTATAATACCACAAATAATAATTTCAGAAACCCTAAATTCTAAACTTTTGATCATTTCCTCCTACATCATTGTCAATCCATGTTTATAGGCATATTGCACCATTCCGGCAAGCATAAATGATATCAGTTACTGCTTTCCATCCAACTGCTATAACATTTCCTTTCATATCTTAGGACTCAACCTACAAATATGTCTTTAAATTAAGTCTCAACATGTTGAATTAACATCATTAAAATTTCCAGCACTAACCACAGAGGGAAATTACAAGATTCAAAATGTTTTAGAGAAATGTGCCTGAGCTGGCAAATTCTACCCGCTGATTCAGATCTTAGGATTCATTTGTTTAAGGGTGTGATGTTTGAAGTATATGAAGAAATTGCCAATATGAAAATATTTTCCTACTGAAAAGTAAAAGGTATGCCATTTTCAAAGAAGGAAAATGACTTCCCACTTATATCCTCCACATTCAAACAAACTGAAAAAAAAAAAAAAAAAAAAAAAAAAAAAAAAAAAAAAAAAAAAGAAAAACAAGAAGGACCGGGAATGCACAGAGGAAAAAAAAAAAAAAAAAAAAAAAAAAAAAAAAAAAAAGGAGCGGAATGCACAAGAGGACTAAATAATTAATATCCACTATATTACCAACTAGCAACAATTGCCATAGCCATCAGGCATCACCAATCCTCATTGACCGGCACTAGTTACACTTTTTATGTAAATCTCTACAAACATTAAACTCTAATAGATTCAAATGTTTTCACTATCTTCCCAAATGAAGGAAAATTATTATTTTTAATATGTTACAAACACCAAGCAATAATTTCCAATTGAATTTTAATTCATTCGCTTACCCAAAAATTTTTTCATATATGTGTTATTTTCCGTGCAACAATCAAACCTCAGTATGAGTCTTACAAACTATCATCTCACTGAGTTTCAAGCTTTGTTTCGAAACTAACACTGAGTTGTAAGGAGTCAAAATATTTTTTTATTCCTCGCCTGATTTCAATAATCAAAATTAATTTCATACTCTTATCAATGTGTTATGCTAACATGCACAATTTTTAATTTAACCAAAAGATTAAACAACTGCTAAAAATTAGGTTCAAAAAACCGTAAGGCTTCCAATTTTGACCAGGGAAATTATTGAAATCCACTCATACTAAATAACACTCCATTGACTAACTTTTTCATGCCCCAAATTTAAGCAAAGTCTTGTAATTATAGTATTAAATAGTACCTTTGCTTTGGAAATTATTTTGACAGCGACAGGTTGTCCCTTGAGCTCTCCTTTCTTGCCTTTAGCCCAGCAAGTATGACCAAAATGCCCTCGCCCGACTTCCTTCCCTAACTCGAACTTGGACGGAAAATTCTTATTGTAACCGAAACTCTTATCAAGTTGTCTCTCTCCTTCCGCTCCCTCTCCGTCCTCTGGTATTGGCACCTCCTTTGGCGGCTTAGTCTGCCCTCGACGCCTCATGATTGCCATGATCGGCTTAGCCGGAGACGGAGGCGGCAACGGCCACCTGAACTTTCTTCCTGGAGTACCCGCCGGAGAAGGAGATGGCGGCACTCCCGCAGGCAGAGGGCTTTGGGATGGGCTGGCTGCGAAGGAGTTAAAATCAGTGGAGGAAGGAGTCTCCCCTGGACGTACAGTTGGAGATGGCGCGGAAGGGGTCTTAGAGTGGTTGCCGGCGGTAGAGTTACCAGGTGTGATTCCATCATTTTTTACAACGGAAACACCTTTGCTGCAACAATGGCCCATGGTCGGATATAGAGGTCAGAGTCTGTCTGATCAAGTAATAAAAGGAAACAGTGAAATCATAGGCGGCGGAGAAATTAGCTCAGATAAACTTACAATCTATGTAAATTTATGGCAACAGAGTCGATCAAAACTCGGAAATAAGAAATAAAAACAAATAAGAAGAAGAAGAAGAGAGAAAGAGAGAAAATGAAGGAAATATTGAAAATGCGGGCAAGTTCTCTATGTATAAATTTGAAAAGAGTTTGAGAGAGAATGAGCTAGCGTGACATTCAACTTTACGTATTTGTGGTAAAAGCCGTAGATGCGGCCGTTGACAAGAGCAATCATGAAGTGTACAGTGGGCCACGTATGTTTGATATAGTAAGTACAATATACTTGCCAATTCTGTTGTGTAGGCAAGGAGGAGAAGACGCGTTTTTCCATTTTTTTTTTTTTTTCGTTTTTCCTGTTGAAAAGAGGGGCCATATGTCTACTAGTAGTCGGTATCTTTCAGCAAAGGAAACGACGCGCAGATTTGGCGTTGAAGTTTATAGAAGTTGGTCGCATTCGCATAGCCTGGCCTTTGGAGGCATCGCTTGCGTAGACAGTGTTGACAATTAATAGGAAGCTGCATCAATTGGCTGCATTATCTTCCATGCTCAAAGAAGTAACCACCAATTTAAGAATGTGATAAGTAAAGGAAATGTAGAAATTGCATTATGGAAACTGTATATTTATCTCTAAATTCCATTGCCACGAGTGGAGATGAGGTAGAATAATTGTCTTAGGTGGGCCAATTAGCCTGCCTCCGGCAAGGTTCGAACCGAACCAGTTTTCTAAGTGGAGTAATCGAAACCAAACCTGATATTTTAGTTCGTTGGATTAGATTAGTTCCAATTAATTTTCAAGGTAAATTTTCAATTTTTTTTAATTGGTTTGGAACCAAAATTGAACCTCCAATTTCAACTATAGGTGCATTTCGACTCTAATTCAATGAATTCTTATGATACTTCTAACATGCTTCAATATGTTTTTATTCTCAATTTGAAAACGAAATTTGAAATCAAACTATAGCAATGCTAAAGGCCAACTTAAAAAAAAAAAAAAAAAAATCATTTTTTCACTTTTAAGGTAATCCACCTTGACAAATTCGACTATTTCATTATTTTCTTGATACATAGCTTAGTTGTTTACTTAAATATAAAATCTTAACAAGGAAAGGATCAGCTTAGCTTGAACTTCCTAATTAGGTATAATGACTTGCTTATTAAAAGCTGAAACTATCCTTCTTTAATATGTTTGGATGTAATATATGCCTTCTCCCATTTCATAAAGCTAGTTCCAAGTAATGACCTCTATCTAGTTATTCACGAATCTTAGTCTCTAAGATCACCCTTAAAGAATGGACCTCAATTTCAACAACAAAAGTTGCTTTCATCTCATATACAAATGTATAAGTAGTTAGACATGGTCACGGTTCTGGAACCGCTGGTTCCTGTTCTAAAAAATTTAGAACCCAAAATTGACGGTTTTGGTTTCGATTTGGAACCGAACGATTTCAGTTCCGATTCTGAATCCTTACGGGTTCCAAAACCAACAGTTCTTGCTGGTTTTCCAGGGAATCGCATAATTATAAAATAAAAAAGTAGAGAACATTTTTCTTCAAAATTTAAAATTTAAAATTTAAAAATTTGTGAAATAATTTCTAAAAAATTTTCCACAAGGGAATCGCAATAATTATACAAATGAAAAAAGTAGAGAAAATTTTTTCTCAAAATTTATAAAATTTAAAATTTTAAAATTTGTGAAATAATTTCTAAAAAAAAAAAACACTTAAAAAATTAAAAAATGCTTGAATTTTAATTTAAATTTTTTAAAAAGCCACTTGAACTTAATTTATTTTTCTTAAAAAAAAAAGTCGTTCAACTAATTTATTTTTGTTTTTAAAAACGTTGGAAACTTAATTTTTCTTTTTTAAAAAAAATATGGTCCTTTTTGGGTTTTAGAGAAATCAAAGCTCACGGTAGTTCTTTACTACCCTTGTACTAGATTAACCCCTTTTACCTTAGTCCACTATTCACCACCTGTTGATGTTCCGTTGGACCAATCGTATAAAGATCATATAAATCTTTTATTTTCTTTGATATTCTCTTGTGCTCTTAGTGTCGGCCTTGCTACAATATCCACGGCATGATTAATGCTTCTAGTGAATCGCGTTGTCCATACAAAATCCGTATTCCATCAAGGTATGTTCCTCATTGGACTAAAAACTTATTCCAACCGCAACCGGAGGAGCGAAACTACTAAAACTTGTTTTGGCAATTTGGTCAAGGAATTGGAAATGCATTAGCCGCGACGTACCCACAATCTAGAATGCAAAGTTATTATCTGCAAAACTAGCAAAAACCTCAAAAGAAAAAGTAAGGTAATTATCAAATTCCGGAAAAAAGAACTGGATTTCATTAGGTCTTTTTTTTTATCTTGTAAGTAATATACATTCAACAGCACTACACTTACTCCTTCAGTTGGAAAAGATTGATTATTGAATTGAGAAGGAATTGAGAAAAAAGTAAGATAAAATCTAAGGAATATTGAACAAATTCAAATATATAGATTCTATTAATATTTTGTCTAACTCTCATGCAATACACATTTTATATAGCACTTACCTTTCTATATCAAGGAATTTTAAAGTATTTCATAATACAAGGAGACAAATATTCAGATAAAATTTCAAAATTTACATTAGGATCAAATACACAAGCAACAAGAAGAAGCGGGGTGTACTATTTTTAAAAATAACGTATAACCATTTTTCCTTTTATTGATAAACACAATTCTTGTAATAAAATACATTTTCTTTCAAATCTAAAATGCACTAAAAATATTAATCGCATATAGGCAAAAATAAAAATGAGATGCTGGATAATAAACCTCCAGCTAAAATTTTTATATGTACGCCTCATCTAAAAATTTTTAAAATATAGCCAAAATTTTTGTACAAATCTCCCATTATTTTGAGAAATAATTTAATTTCACTCATATTGTTAGTACAAAAATGCACAACTAATTCTTTATAGTAAAAAAAGACATCGTTAATAATTCATATGTTGAATCAACGAAGTTGGAACATCCCCCTTGAAAAACGGCTTTTCTTCGTCACCGTACCCGTTCTTGTGGTCTTGGACCGGCACTCAGGGCCTAGATAAGCTAAGGCTCCGAGGCCCGTATTTAAGCCCTAAACTACTCAACTTATTACATGCCACACTTATTTAATAGGAAAAGCAAGCCCTTACCAAGTTAGGAATAAATATAAATAAATATTATACAATGCCGGCCCCAAATTTTTATTATCTCCAATAAAGTTTAGTTTTGGGCCTAATCATGATAAACTCAACATTCATAATTGAGCATATAATCGACCTGATTCACCTTGCGTCTTACTTATACAAGCAAATCAATCTTATAAAGTAACCGCATACGACAAGGCCCAATTGAAATACCACAACCCTATATCTGCCGGAGTTCAAAACATAATTTGAAAGTAAGAGTATTAATAATACAACCAATTTAAATAACAAAAATTATGCAAATTTTACCATTTGTAAACTCCTGGAGAGAAGATGTAGAGCTTTCAGTTCAATCTAGCAACTTTCTACTTACCTGAGAGATTGGATAGAGGGGAGTGAAAAGTTTTGCAATTGCAACTCAGTGAATAATAATAAATAATACACACCACATACAGTCATGCAAAATGCACCCTAGAGTACTGAATGAACACACAACAGTTAATCATATGGCATCATGTCAGCACCCACAATTAATATCACTTTCAAATAATCACATCACGTGGAAATTAGTCAATGGCGTCACCGAAACCCCGATGAGTTGTCCTCCCACATGACCCATCCACTCACGTGTGCACCAAGGAGCCAATCCCCCATTCTGGCCGACCAGTATAATCCTCACATGACCAGTCCTCTCATTATTTTTCCAGTCTCTCTTTTCTTTTCTTTTTTTTTTTTAATACCAACAGGAGGTAACCCGATCGTCTCCATCAAATCTGGATCATCAGGCACTCACAACAAGAGGCCACCCTGCGGGCTACGATCAAATCTAGATTATCACGTGCGCCCAATAAAGAGACCAACCTGTGGTTTTCCATATCATACAGAGTGCGCCCAATAAAGAGACCAACCTGTGGTTTTCCATATCATACAGATCATAACGGTAGGTGCACACGGGGGTGTCGATCTCCCATTTACCCGGCTAACGGTAATCATAATTAGGATCCATATAATGGTAATAGTCTCACAAACCCATGGTGACCCACTTCATTCCAATTCCACACAAACAAATCACAGTATAGTCACAGCACAAGTAATCAAACAATTCATTCAATGTATTACACCAAATCCATCCAAATGTGCAACCATAAAATTATAATTATACAGTAATAGTGACATAATATATTTATAAGAATCAAGATACACACTAATTAATATACCTGGTTAATATAGATAAATCATACATGTTTATAAATAAATGTTTAAATGCAAATGCCAGGTGTTTGATATGCATGATTATTATTAACTCATGCATAGTAAATAAATGTTATGCAAATGCAGTGTTGATATGCATGATTTATTATTACTCATAGTGGTGGAGAACGAAGCTCTAGCTTTGATTCTGCCCAAGAGGAGCACTAGACGGGTCCGAGCGATCCAATATATTGTTGCCGAAATTTGCTTGACCAAAAATGGAGGCTACGCATGCCGGAACAAAGAGCAGGTGGAGGCTGGTGGCCGGAGTTGCGGTGACGCAGCTAGACCACCGGCAATCGTCGTGACAAGGGAGGAGAACGGCTGTGGTTGACTACGCTCGCTCGATCAAAGGTAGGAGGGGCTGTGGCGCTGCGCGATTCAGCCGAGGACAAAGCAGGACTGCTGGCGGAGTTACTGCGACGGTGAGCGGCAACGAGGTGGTGCGCAAGGAGACCCGATCGACCTGGTGTCGCCGCTGCAGTTCTAAGCCTCGCCAGATGCAGATGCAGACGCAGACGTAGGGAAAGAACGAACAAGAAGAAGAAGGAGAAGAAGAAGAAGAAGAAGGAGAAGGAGGAGGCATTGGTGGTGCTGCGTGTAGGTGGAGGCACAGAATGGGGAAGGGGAGGGTGAAGTGCGCGCTGGAAATAGGGGAAGAAGAGGGTTCTAGAAGTGGTTTGGGTGAGTTGGGCTGGTTTGATTCAATTCAGGTTTGGTTCGATCTAAATC